GAGAGAGAGAGAGAGAGAGAGAGAGAATGGAATTGGAATGAGGAAGTGAAAGAGAGGGTGTGGGAAAGTGGGTCATTGAGGAGTGAGTGGTCAGTGCCCGTTGTCATTATACTCATTTAATGGGGGCATAAAGTGAGATAATAGGATTTTATTGCAATGTCAATGAACGTGACAGATATATAAATGAGGGTATCAGCCCGGGCAGCTCGCTATTTACAGGTCGAACACCCCGGGGAAAAGTTCCAAAAGCACTCATGCCTGATGCAGTTGTCAGATCAGAAATGAATCTAGGTATAACAAAAGTAATAACATTCTTTTTACATATAAAAACAATATAATAAACACGACGTCTTTATGCAGAACAAAACACTATAAAAGAACAAACTGTTCGCTTGCGTAAATGCATAATAATATTATATAGGCTACATCTATTGCACTGAGGTATTTGGCTAACAAAGAAACAACAATGAAAGTAAATATCAGTATAGCCTACTAGATAACAAATCCATTACCCTTGTAAACCTTGCAAATATAATGTTACAATTAGGTAATACTAAAAACACATTTTTGTGAGGTTACAGTCAGCTGAAGCATGAAAAAATCTAACTCTACTAAGATACCAAGATGCCCGCAAAAGGGGCGTGCAGTCCTATGACTTCCAATTCCAACAGGGTCCAACTTTGAAATGGGAAAAGGCGATAGACGATCGAAAGGAGAAGTAAAGACCGGTCTTAAGACGAAGAAAGACGAAGCAAAATGACAAGTAGACTCCATGCAGCATCCATTGACTTTAATTATCATAATATTTTAGACCAAGCACTGTCATGGCCACCGCCTTCTGGTCTCAACAAAAACTTTGCTACGCTGTAGCGGATCATGATAATAATAGTCGAGGGCTCGCGTAGCCTTTTCCTCCTTGTCCTTCAATGGGTTCCAAAATAAGTCAGACAGTACACTATATTGTGAGCAGGAATTACGTCAGAGTGCAGTCTTGGATATCATAATACAAGCCTATGGAAACATAGTGCAGTCTTGGATATTATAATACAAGCATATGGAAACATCAGAAGAGAAACCAGATACCGCTAAAGAGCTTCGGACATCGGTATCTCACTTGCACCCATTGTAACGAGCATTTTCTGACGTCCAATGGCCATGTCATCAGCATGTTCCATCCTCTAAAGATTTGGAATTTAGACCAAACTATCGCCTGCTTTGATGAAGTTTTGCTTACTCCTTACCCAAAAACCCTTTGATTAATGTTTCTTTCGTAGCATAAGGCCACTATAGATTTACTAGATGTTATTATCATCAAGTGCACTCTCTTTTGTATGGATTTACTGCTAAAGAGTGTGTAGAAAATAAGAACAAATACCAGCAGTTATGAAAACCGGTTTAAAAATGTCCTTACATTGTAGAGGGCTTACATTACAGTGTTAATGAAAAAAATGTCATTGTACTATTTTCATGAATAAATGGTGGATGACCAATCACGATATGATGAGTGAAATGTGACCGCGAAAGTTTACACACAATATTAATATCAATATCATATGAAAGACATCTGGTGGAAAAAATTATTATACATGGACATGTACTGGAAATTCGTAAACCACACTCCCCCAAAAATTCACTTGCAATCTGCTTGGTCCCATCATGTTTAGTTGTTGTTTTTTTTCACTAACAAGCACAATAATACGTACAAATAAATAGATATTAGTTTTATATATGTAATATTATTATATCGCAACCCCCCTCTCCCCCTTTCTCTTTCTTACTTTCTTTCTTTCTTTCTTTCTTTCTTTCTTTCTTTCTTTCTTTCTTTTATCTATCTATCTATCTATCTTCTTCAATATCTCTCTGTCCGTAGTTGTCCGTCTGTCTGTTCTTGTCTGTCTGCCTCTATCTTTACATTCGTCTCTTCAGCTCCACCTCCCCTCCATTCTCTCTCTCTCTCTCTCTCTCTCTCTCTCTCTTCCTCTGTGTGAATATGTGTGTGTGTGTTGTGTGTGTGTGTGTGTGTGTGTGTGTTGTGTGTGTGTGTGTGTGTGTGTGTGTGTGTGTGTGTGTGTGTGTGTGTGTGTGTGTGTGTTGTGTGTGTGTGTGTGTGTGTGTGTGTGTGTGTGTGTTAACCAGAACATTCCTCCTCACTTTTCTGTGGACCCCCCCCCCCCAAAAACCAACTGTTACAACATCTCTCAAAGACAGAAGTGCAAAATTTTCAGACTCATCACTAATGTTGACGCCTGCATCACATCAAATGATCGACAGCTTTTCAGATGACTGGATGCACGTCAACACAGACGGCTCAGCATTCAATGACACAACCACAACCAAATATGCAATACTTATACAATTAACAATACACAGATGGAAGTTCTAATGAGATCTCTGTAGCCTACGGAGAGAAATATAATGCAGCACCTAGGATTACGACACAGGAATGATGGTAACTGAAAGAGCACTGCACCATCTCAGCACAGTTTGTTACACTCATCCTGACAAAAGTCAGGGTGTTTTGATTTTCACTGAATCACAGTCAGTCCTGCAAGCAGTAGAAAATGACCATCATGTAAACCAGGATTTGACGCCTATAATACTGTATGGCTCCCATGACCTGGTAACATGTGGTGTCAGCCTGGGAGTGCAGTGGATTGCCAGACACCCAAACACACTCGGAAATGCCGGGGCAGACACAACAGCCCAAAGAGGATCTAGACCGGAACAGCCCATTATTACAACTTCATACGGCACTGCAAAACAAATCATTAAAAGAAACAACAAACAATATTGATGAACAGATGGGTCTTGGGAAAAACAGGCAGGGCAGTTTTCAAGTATGTGAATACAACTAAACAAAATGACAACATCAACCACCTTCAGAGAAAGGAACAGACCACGATCATCCGCCTACGAACAGAACATTTACAGCTAGACATCCACTTAAACAGAATGAAATCAAAACTTTCTCTAATGTGTCCTTTGTGTCACTACACATATGAGAGTGTGGATCACCATCTGTTCCACTGCACACCCCTATATGACATCAAAACTACACTTCCCTATTCGAGACCTAACATTGACAACACCATTCTGTGGAACATTACTGCAAATGCAGAAAACCTGCACTAATCACTACGAGGCATCGGACAAAAGGGCAAGAGCCCAGCTGTTGTTGGATCGATAGGAACAACAATAACAAAAACTCTCTCTCTCTCTCTCTCTCTCTCTCTCTCTCTCTCTCTCTCTCTCTCTCCTTCCCTCCCTCTATTTCCATATTATTACCTTACGTTCGATTAAAATTTCAAGTGCGTTTTGCAATCAGAATGTCTGTGGCATACCACTTCCTGGTACCCTCATACTGTAAGTCAGTTGTTTCATTGTTTCTAACGCTTATGATTCTCTACCGTAAAGCAGTGTTTTTCGGTTGTTTTCTGTTAACATTTTGTCAGCAGTACACCATGTTTTGATCATCGGCATTTACAACTTGTATATCAACTGGGCCATTTGGGGATATCGGAAAGGCCGATCTTATTGTCCTCAGCGACTCTAAAGAAAGGATCGAATCCGACAGCGTGACGTAACGCACATTTGTACAGCAGGCGAGAAATCCACTTAACTCCCCCTGCCGCAAACGCAAGCCTCCTGAGCTACCGTCCGCCTCAAGAGAGATCGACTTCAGCGTTGGCGCGAAATTCTTTGCCAGATGGTTCAGTAGGTTGACTGTCTTGTCCACGAATGTCAAGGATGAGTAGCGGCACTGACCACCCTGGACTCCAAGGTGAACCAACGGCATCTCTTGCCCGAGGAACATGGCGGGGTCCCTTGACCAGTTGGTCATGCGCACGGACACTCGGAGGTTTGGACACACTTTACGCGCGAGCTTCCATCGGTCTGAAGAGATAATGTCATCGGGACGAGCATATTCCCAAAAGGATAAATACAGGATCAATTTCTTCAACGTAGCTTGGAGATTTTCGCAGAGATCCACAACTTTCGTTGCGTACAAGTAGGAATAATTCAGCGCTATTTCTCTGAGATTGCAACATTTGGTAGATAAGTACCGAAGCTGAACTCCTATAATCCTCTTCGAAGCTTCCATGCTGTAAAAATCGACGACGTTTACGACTTCCAACGAATTTGCCGATTTGCTCCTAGAGAGCGCCTTCACAACTCGGAAACCAAACGGAGGCGTCATGTAGCTGTCGTGCATGTTGAACAGTCTCAAGTTTTTCTGCAGGCTCAAAAAGTCTATGATCGTGTCCACAAGCAGGCATTTGGAGGACCTGAAACAGCTCCAAGTCTCATCAAAGTGTAGGTGACTCATGTGGAACTCACGTATGCTTCGCCTTCCCTCCTTGAAGGTGGACAGGCCCGATAGTAGGTGCTCTACACACTGCGCCTCGCTGTCAATGTAGGTATAGAGATTATACGTTAAATTTTTTTTTTACTCAAAAGCAATTT